CTGCCTGGTAAGGACAGCCCTGGCCAGGGAGAGGCGCCCTCCCTTCCGCCTTCCGCCTAGGAGTCCTGGGCCGGGAGCAGCTGGGGGCCCTGTTCTGGCCCCACCCTTGGTCTCGGTCTGGTCAGAGGCTAGGCTGTCCTGCGCCCAGGGTGCAGTAACGGTGGCAGGTTTTGTAAGACCTGGGGAGCTCATGGTTTTGAAATAAAGTGTTTTGTTACTTTCTGACATTTTGGAGTTTCTGTCTCATTTTGCCATTTGTTCAGGAGGCATGAGGCTGCCTGATCTTGAGCCTGGATCACCTTCACGGCAGCCTGCAGGTGTCACAGGCCAAATGGGGAGTGGTACAGGGAGGGGGCACCCCACGGGGGTCCTAAATTCTGGCTCCACGGGCAACAGTGATGCTTGGGGACAATGTATCGTTTCACTCTGCCAGGGCCAAGGATTAAAGCCAACCCAGTTGAGCCAAGCCCCGTGCCGTGCCTGCCTCCCACCCTGGGGCGTGTGTGCGCGTGTGTGTGCACGTTCTGGAGAGACAGCCGGTCATGGGAGTCCGTTGGGAGGAAATGTCTCCTCAGTGATGGATGAATAGATGACGTCCTCTCAGTGTCTGTGGATGATAAATCAAAACGCCAGAACTTCGGGAAGAACAGGGCAGGGCACGCTTCAGGTTTTGAAAAACAGAGATCAGAATACAACGGAGGAAGGACAGCCTCACAGGGATGAGGCCAAACCCCAGCTGCGGACCCCCGCGCTCTGTGGCGAGGGCCTGGAACGCGGGTCTCGGGGCTGTGCTGGCCGGTGGGGGCTGGACTGGCCAGAACAGGCAGCTCGGCCGCATCCACCCCTGAGGTTCACTTATGCCGTTTCCCTTGCCTGCGAGTGACGCCGTCCCTCCCCAGGCCGGGCCCCAAGTCCTGAGTGTCAGGAGCCTGCCCCTCTGAGCTCCCGCTGCACTGTGCCTGTGGGCTAGCGTGGGTCAGCGGCAGTCAATCCCCGTGGGCCTGGGAAGGGGCTGCCCAGGGGGCTCCCTGTGAAGCCTTGCCCCGCTGTGGGGGCCCTGAAAACCCCTGGTCCTGGACTGTCACCAGGGTGAGGAGGGATGGGCTGTGGACAGCCAGGGGCCATGGTCTTAGTCACCAGTACCCTGTCACCCAAGCAGCCTGTGCAGTGACCTGTTTGCTGAGTTAGCTCCCAACCAGAAGCCACACCCCAGGAGCACCACAGTGACAAGTCACCCTCCTGCTCTGCCATGACTCTATCTGCTGTCACCTCTTAGCACCTCCTGCCCTCTGACCCTCGTCCCAGGCACTCACAGTCCCTCTGCCTCTCCCGTGTGTGAACTCGGTTCACACGTGCTGCAGCCCACCACACGGCCCCCACCTCTGCTGTGCGCACATAGTGGTGCCCCCTGCCCGTCCCTCGCCTGCCTTGGGGGTCTGCTGGTGCCAGAGCATCGGTCCTAATAGATCACCGGCTGGCAGCCCACTCCCAAGGGTGGGCTCACGGCTCGGTCACCGGGTGGCCTGAGTAAGACGGGTCTCATGGGCAGAGCTGGACAAGCTATGCGAGTGTCCAGGTGGGCTCTCAGTCAGGTGCCCCCTCGGGACAGGGGATTTCCGCTAGAGCCACGTGTCAGTGAGGTCACGCGGCACTCCGACTTGCCGGGACCGTCTAACGCTTCGCAGCGTCCCAGTCTCTCCAGACCTGGTGGTGCTGGTCGGTACCCTCCCCAGGTAGAAGTGACAGGGGTGGACTGGGTTACAGAGACCTGTTTTTAAAAAGTTTCATCATTCTTTTGCTTTTTCTGGCTTTCATTGTCAGAAAAATGTTTCCCAGATTTTTGGAGTTCCAGTGTGGGTTTGCTTCTGTTTTGAGCTTTATTTTGTGGCTTTGTCACCCAAGCAGCTTCCTGGGAGGCGTATTTCTATGGTTTAGAATTTTTCTAAAATAAATCCCTAGCTCTCTGTAACCACACCGTTTCACGCATTACCCCAGAATTGCAGCCGGCTGCGTCTGCCGGCTTCAGCAACTGGCCAATGGCCTCGGGGCGGATGAAGGCCTGGGTCTGCTCACAAGATTGTCACCAAGACCCTCCGAGGGGTCTGCAGCCCAGGGCTGGGTGCTGGCTCTTCCAGTGATGGGTGGGGGTCGCTGCCTGTTCAAAGGGCACCAATGGCCACTGACATCAGGTGGTTCCAGCTGGCCTCTCCCGTGCAGAGGTGGTTGCTGGGCCTGGTAGGACACGCAGGCCCCTCTGTCCTGGTGTCCCCACCCCTTGGCACAGCCCTCGTCTACATGGTCCCTGCCGTCCAGGCACAGGAGTGTCTAGCTCCCTCCGAGGACACAAGCTGGGCTGCACCTTTTGTTTCCAGAGCTCCTCAGAGGGACCCCTGCTGCGCCCACTGCAGGGGAGGCAGAGCGAGAGCCGTTCACAGTAGCCACTTCCAGGCACAGCAGTGGGGGGTGGGGGGAGCCCATGTCCCGAGCAGCCCTCAGTCCAGTCTGGGGGAAGTGGGAGGCCAGCTCGGCAGCATTCTCCCCTGGGTGCAGCCGGGGACTCAGCCTGGGGGCCCGCGGTGGCGGCCAGCTCAAGGGCATGCAGTCCCTGCTTCTCTGAGGCGCTTCCTGGAACCGCCTCCCACGTAAACAACCTGCATGCACAGCCTGGTCTCCAGGCTCTGGGGAGGGTCCAGCCGGGCAGGGGTCTGCAGGATCCGCTGCAGACGTGGTGCCCTCAGCTCACTGGTCCCTAAGTGATAGGCAGTTTGGTTAACCCGAGTCCTTCCCACACGGGCCCCGCAACTCCTGCAGGCTGGCCCACACCCCCGGGCCACCCGCTCCCTGGGCGGCTTCAGCCCCGAGCTGGTTCGCGTTTTGCTGTGACCGTGCTCACGGGGACCACCGAGGTCAGGTGGCCGCTCCCACACGCTGGCAGCAGACCCCGAGCTGCTGCAGGGGCCGCGTGGTCGTCCCTCAGGTCCGGGATAACCTGCAGGGCGCGCACTGCTGAGCCATCCCCGACAGCAGGCAGCCAGCCAGCCCGCGGCCCACTTCCCTGCAAGACCTGCTTCCAGATGCGTCGTTTCCTTCTTTGAGGACGTCGCGTACAAGTGCTGAGCACACTGTGGGACCAGCAGCTGTTCCTTGCTCCCTAAATATCCTTCCTTTACAGCAAACTCAGGGGAGGAGCCCCTGAAGACCCAGCACCTTTCATGACTCTGGATTCAGGTGATGGGCTGAGCCTTTTCTCCCGACAGAACCGCCGGCTCTGCCCCTGTGCCGGAGGAGCCCCGACGGCCCCCTGCTCCGTGTCCTAGACACTCTGGGGCCACGGCAAGGGCACCTGGAGGTGGAGCTGAAGGACCTTCTATCAGCTGCTCGTAGCCATGTGCAGAGGGCCCCTTGGGAGACAGGGCGGTGCCTACCGGTGAGGGTGGGCATTCAGGAGCCTCTGGCCAGCACGTCCTCTCTGGAGACGGGAAGGGGCAGGAAGGCCCAGAGCACCACTGTCCACCAGGGCAGGGGGGACCCAACCAAACGTCCACCAGAAAGACGACAGACACTTGCCCACTCCCAGGGCCCCCACGCCGCTCTGCCCCGGGGAGAGGGCTCCAGTGACTGCCCGACTTCCCGTTCTGCCAAGGCTCTAAGGTGACTGTCTTTGCAGAGCGGTGGGGACACCTCACATCTTCAGCATCAGCCTCCCACCTGAGCAGCTACTGCCAGTTCCAAAGGGATTCCGCCAGCATCTGGCTGTCAGCAGGCCGGGAGCGCCCCTCTTTGGGTCCATGCAACTTCTCTTTAAAGAGGTAACGCACCAGCAACATGGCACTAGGTTCACACACTAAAAATTCAGAAAATGGCACGCCCCCCTCAGTCCTGTCCCCAAATCCCCAGTTTCTCTACCCAAAGCAACAGTTGTTCCCTGCTCCACATGCACTGCCAGATGCACACACACACACGTACATGTACACATACACACACACGCAGGCACACCACATGCTTATGTGTACACACACCCATACGTGTACACATACGTGCATGTGCACGCACATGTGCAGACACGCCCTTGTGTGTATACATACGTGCACACGCGTGCAGGCACACCTTTACGTGTATACATATGCACACGTGCACATACGCATGGACACACCGTTTTTTAAAATACGCAAAAGGCAGCAGATTAGACACTCTCTCTGCTGTGCTTTAAACAACGTCTGAACACGCTCTGTAGACGGTCCCAGATCAGAGCGGAAACAGCTGCTCCCTCATCTCAGTGGCTGCCTCACACTTCGGGGGTGCAGTGGTGGCATTACTTAAAGCCCCATTAATGGATATTTGGGTGGTTTCCAACCTTTTGCTGTTTCCTACAGCAGTGGAATGAGTATCACTGTCCAAATCTCTCTCCTTACACATGAGAGACTACCTTTGGGGTAAATTCTTGGGCGTGGCAGTCACGGGCTGCAGGAGCGACCACCACCCCTTTACGGATGGGAACAGGCAGTGCAGACGTGGAGCGTGCCCGTCTCAGGGAACAGAATCAGCAGCATTTACTCCCGTCGTGACGTTTCTGGGGCCTCTCAGGGCTGCTCCTCCCGGCAGGTCACCTCAGCCCGGGGGCAGTTCCTTGCGGCCGCTGCCCCGGGCGCCCTGGACCAGGGGGCGGAGAGGGAGGCTGCTGAGAGCCGGGCCC